CTGCATATACAAGGTCTCGAACTCGAGACCTTACTTAAACTGGAACAAACTGCTTATCACTTTATCAAACCCCTCGTTAATAGGTGAGCGTACTTAGTTTTGATGAATATTTTATTAGTTTGTAATTTAATTAATTAATTAATTATGATATTTAAAATTATTAAATATTAAATTAATTTAAACTTATTAAATAATAAATATTAATTATCTATAAATTTTAACAATTAAATTAAACAAATTTATATAATATTAATATTATACACATTTATGTAGTCATAACCACACTTTTAGGTGACGTGATCAACTAATTTAATGGAATTGACAAAAGAGGCAAGATAAGAGGACAAAAAGAAAGAATATTATTGAGAATTTATGTTGGAAGAAAATACAATCTGAATTTGATGCATTGTAATTTTTGGTATTACAAAAAATCTATATATTAGTTGAACTATTCTTTTTAGTATAGTTTTGAATATAGTGATTCATTCTCAAATCTTAGTATTGAGAATGAGTTAATTTTCACATCACTTGAAAAGATTTTTGGATCCCCATAATTTTCTATGTTTTTTTTAAAAAAAATTGTTAGTTTAGTGCCATGAAAGAAGATTCTAAGGGACGAGTTTATGACCAGAAAATTTGTAATCACTTCACTTTCTTGTTGAGACCTGAACCAAAGCTGTAATTTGTTCTTGTAATTAATTACCAAAGAATAAAGACAAAGTGGGTAGAATCTATTGCCTATTTTCTGTGCAACTTATGATTCGAGAATACGTTTTTATCTAGCGGCAAAAAAAAAAAAAAAACCTTGCAGGCCATGAATAGTACGGTACTAATTCTAGAAAGAGTGCATTTCAAGATTAATGTATTTATTTGTCCCACCAGGTCCACGTCTAAATTCTAAATGATTTGAAAATCAAGCCCAAACCCGATTTTATCTTAGGCGAAACTTTATTTTTACACTTTTTACATGATTTTTTTTGTAGTTAATATTTTTCATAATGTAAAATTTGTAAAAAACTTTGAAATTATCTATTAAACTTTTTATTTATATTTTAATTCTATTGATAATTTAAAATTTTTTACAAATTTTAAATTATAAAAAGTGTTAATTAAAAATAAAAATTATAAAAAGTGTTTATTGTAAAAAAAAATAATGTAAAAAGAGTAATTAGAAAGTTTAGCTTTTATTCTAAAAGGTACAAAATTGAAAGTTGGTCCTTCGTCCTAAAATAAATTGCACATTAGTGGTTTAACTTCAGATCCAAAAAAAAAAAAAAAAAAGAAAAAGAAAAAAGCAGCACATTAGTGGCTGCCCAATAGATTACGTTATATCTTGGGGAATCTTAGGCATTACCAACTTTTTCCAAATAAAGTATTCTGAAAAAGGCACAAATTTCACTCTGGAAGTAGATCTAAAAACTTAGTCACCTGTCTGCAGCTTCGGGAGAAACCTCCACACAAGTTCTCAAGTCTGAAACTGAAATTGCATGTCCTAAAACAGACAAAACAATGGCCTCAGTCACTCCATCCTTGGTTTCACTTCTCTTCTCTGCAAGAATCTCAGGCCTCACTGTTGCAGCTTTGGTCCTCTCTTGGGCTCTCCTCTTCAAGTCTAGCTTCCTCCCCCACTCTTCTTCCCCACAAGAAGGGCTCATATATGCTGTAAGTACTAAGTATTGACAAACTCTACTTTTTCTT